ATTTGTAGTAAAAAAGTAAAGCTGTGTAATTATCCAGATGAAAATGAGTGACTTATTAAAAAGACCAATTCATTGTAGGTTTGTTTTGCTGATGATCTCCCTTAAAATTCCCACCCTAATTAATATTCATGATTACATGAATAAATTAGGCCACCTCCATATAAAGACCACCTGTCTATAAAGGACAGTTTGGCTCAGTCAACTGACTGTCCTTTATAGACAGGTTTGACTGTATTATACTTTTGGGCTAGTGGCCCATAGTATGGAATAAACATATTATATAAAATATTTTGATAAATATGTAAAATGTTTGTGTAAAAAAATTTGCTGAGTGCACTCTCTATTGCATGTTGTGCTCCACTTTGCATTTCTAGCAATATATTAACAAATACTGCTATCAACCTTCAAGTTATAGTAAAAATTATGAAGATATCTTGTTTTGACATCAAATATATTTGTTTCAGCGACACAACGAACAGGAAATGAGGCTTGGTGGAAAACAAGCTGATGCTGAGAGAAAACTATCGGTTGCCAAGGAGAGCAAAGCTGATATCAGAATAACAGTGAAGCCAAAATATTGGACTCCATCAGATGGGAATTACATACAGGTACAGTTTTCTACATGAACAGTGCCACCTAGTGGTTAAAAAATACAAAATTTTATTAAAATTTACAGATGTAATGAGGTAATGTGAGGTTTGACCATTAGACAGGGGGGTAGAAAGATGGAGGGGCATCTGCATCTGCAGAAAGTATTTGAAACGGAATTTTACAGGGAAAGTTACAAAATCAAGAATACCATTTTCATGTTTCACGTAAATCTTATGCTTAAAATCTAATCCCATTTAAAAATGGTTTTGCCTGTTTGGATTAAAAATTGCCAATGTCAGAATGTTGCAAGAGATATTGATAGGGTGCTTCTCCAGACCAGTTCATTTGAGTGGCTGCTGTAAATTTTGTACTTCACCTCCAGTAGTGTAGGGTTGAGTATCAACCTTATGCTGAGTTGAAAACCATAAAAGAATTGACAGAAAAAACTTCTGCCAACCTCTTTCGACCTCACTGATTAACTCTTCGGCAGTGTGTCACAAACTTAATGGGAAGTCCAATGCCACTGGCTGAGAATTAACAAAAGCAATTTTATTTGTTGGAAACCATGGTAATGTCCGTGACTCCTGTGGACAAATGCTAATGTGTACCTCTAACACTTACAATTTGTACAGAAAGAGTCAACAGTGAAATTTATTGTCAAAAACTGTTACCATACTCAAAAATATATGTGAATTATTTTCTGTTTTTTTTTTTTTTTTTACAGAATTTACCCTACAACACTCTTTGTGAAACTGATGGTGATTCTCGATCATTTCTCTTCAAACCACAAAACACTGATAATGCTGTATTTGAATGTGATGTCATTCTACAACAGACTGGTAACCTTGACAACCCTTCAGTCACATTCCATATTCATGAGATGTATACTGGTGTGGAGGTAAGAAGAATACTATAAAACTTTTACCAAACATACTTCTAGTCTTTGAAAACTGAGGCAAAAATTCTTCACTTCTGTATTTGTTTTATCAGAAGTGTATGAAAACCATAAATACCATTTGTTGTTTGCTGAATCATTAAAATATTACTTACTTTGACCAGGTTTTTTTTCTAGAAAAAAACTGCAGAGGGAGCACTGCAATTCAGCGGCGCCACCAAGTGGGGGGAAATAGGGTTCTCCCTACCAGGGTGTGGAGTTTTTGATAATTAAAATGGAACATTCTATGGCTTCCTTGGGGGCAAAATTACTATCAGACAGGTCACAGTTGAAGACTGTGGCCACATGTCATCTCAGGTCAAACAGAATTTCATGGTAGCCAGAGGATCTGCTTCTCAGGGTAAGGGGGAGCATGGCCATGGCGTGAGGGCCCTGTTCACTTGTTTAAAAAATTCCCTACTTTGAATCATAGAAATATACCTGTAATTTATGAAAGCACATGCCACATGCGTTTCTAATAAAGCAAATACAAACCCACATTATAACCCGCCATCCAATGAAAAATTCCGTTTGGTTCAACATTAATTTATGATAAATAAATTATAATATTAAATAAAAATAAAATTTTGTGTTGCAGCCTAATTTTGAATGTTTATTCGTATGCAAATACAGATCGTTGCGGAACAGTAAATTCTATTATATTCATAACTAGATGTATATTAATACTACATGTATTTAATAATAGTATTTCACCAGTATGAATAAAAATTTTTCTGTGAGATGCCGTAACTTGATAATAATTTACGTTCTACACTGACTTGAAAATGGCTCGGCTGAACATGTGGAAGACCATGATAATCATCATCATCCTGCCCAAGTTTTCTTTACAAACATGTAACAATATTGAACATGATGAAGCTTATAATGACTACACCGCTTTGAAATATTGACTGTCTCTCTCATAATGTTACTGTCTTACAAACTTTGCTGCTACATTTTTTTTATTTATTCTAAACTACTTGTAGGCTTCACAAGTGCCTTCAACGTCTGACTGTATCTTATCAGCTACTTTGATGGATAAAATGGCGATGTTGTTGGATATCAAACGAGATGATGGTAATGACTGGAGGATGCTCGCTGAGAAACTAGTGGGTTTAGATGACACTCAAATTAGGAGGATTGACGAGCGAGATAGTTATAGTCCCTCAAAAGTTGTCCTCAATATGTGGGAACAAAAGACACCCAATGCCAAGGACATTAAGTGCTTGCGTCTTTTTTTGAAGGATATTTCCCGGGACGACATCGTTGAGATAATTGATGAGAATTTTCATCCTGATACTGTAGATAAAGATAAAATGGAGCAAGATGATGTTGAGTTTTTGGACCAGAATAATGAGAATTGTAGTTCATTCATTTCACCATCGGGTAAAAAATCCTGGCAATGTCACAGCACACCACTGTCACCCAGACAGCAACATCACATATCCATGCCACTGATCAACTCAAGCATTACTAGTAGCTTTGAGCGCTCTTCTAGTTTCGCGGATTCTTGTTATTCTACTACGTCTGACCGGGAAGTCTTAGATTATATGTCTGATTAGATGCTGTCTATAATTATTATTATTATTATAATGCTTGATGTGTTATGCTAAGTACTTTCTTTGTAACTGACTATTCAATCAAGTCTATAAAAAAAAACTCAAACTAGTTTTGTGATTCATGAATCCAGTTGTATGTCTTTTTTTTCAAAATGATCATTGTTTCCATGGAAACAAGCTTGGATACCAACACTTTATTTGATGGAAAATGTCAATGTCACATTTTGACAAAAAACCTGTCATGCTTTTTTATTATGTTTTTTGTCTTTTTAAAAGTATTTGTTGATTCAGTATGTACAGAAACTGTCAGTGATTTTCAAATGAATTTTTGCTATGGGTTACACTGTAAGGTGACAGTCCAGTCCATTCCATTTCATCCCACCCCATTCCATTCCATTCCATTCCATCCCTTCCCTTCTCTTCCCTTCCCATCCCATCCCATCCCATCCCATCCCATCCCATCCCATTCCATTCCATTCCATCCCTTCTCTTCCCATCCCATCCCATCCCATCCCTTCTCTTCCCATCCCATTCCATTCCATCCCTTTCCTTCTCTTCCCATTCCATCCCATCCCATCCCTTCCCTTCTCTTCCCATCCCATCCCATTTCATCCCATTCCATCACATCCCATCCATCCCATCACTGCTTTGCAACATAATGACATATTTTAGGATCTGTTTGATATGTACA